CTGAGATCGCTTAGGGGCTGTCAGGTAGACATAAAGAAGAGAAAGGCTACTGTGTTATTTTCACATTAATCTGCAGCATCGAGTCGGTGTCTTCACAGTGGCATTGATTTCTGCGGCCAGGTTACCCTCATTCTTTGGCAGTCAGGCCAGGCCAAGAGGTGAGCAGAAATGGTGTCCTTGAGACAATGTGACCCTGAGTCCTGAGGTGTGGCTCTCACCTGGTCAACAAATATTGAATACAAGATATACCCCACCCACTCAACTTCACTGCCACCTTGAGCACACACCTGTCTGGTCCCATCCCTCGTCCCATCCCCCCTCCCATCCCCCACTGGCCTTCTTGTAGACCTTAAACCTGTGATCTTTCTGTCTTGGCCTCCAGACCTTTCCTCTAAATAATTTGTATTCAATAAACATCCACCTATTAAATATTTGTGACTGGTGGTTTTGCCCAGAACAAAGTGTCTAGGAACCATACATTATCAATTGCCACCAACCCTGGAAAAAACCCATTCACTTGGGGACAGAGACCATGCATGAAGCAGTGGACCCTTTCCAGGTTTTAACATTCTAACTCTTCTCTTACCACACAGAAACCTTCCAGGTGAAAACCCAGGGGCACTAAGTGGCTTCAGAGAAGGGAATTTGTTGATAATGCTTATCTTGGGAGAGCGAAGACTGGAATTTGAACTCGGGTCTTTGATAGAGACATGGTAATGCCCCAGGCATGGCTACTCTTCCAAACTCCAGTATAAATCTCCTTGGCACTCTTGGGAACTCACTCATAATTCCCTGGAACAAGAAATATCAGGTAAGGGTTGCTTTATTGAGCATCACAGAAGTGTCTCATGACGCTTGGAGAGAGCAGTTTACGCCGCTAACTTTCCATCATTCTGACTTTCTATCCCAAGCAGAGGCCACTTGGAGGCAGTTCCAAGGACCACTGCTTGCCTGAAGTTCTCCCTGGACAGCCGACTCTTGTTTCTCTCTCCATGCACCCAAGGCCCCTGTGGTCAACCAGACCCTGTCATTTCTCTAGCCATTCCCAAGTGGCTTACATCCTCCTCAACCTCAGTATAAACAGCCTGCCTGTGTTGGGAATCAGGCTTGGCCAATCTGATTATATGATAGCAATGCCTTTTGCACATCCGTGATATGAAGCAGATGAGTACACCACAATCCTCCCCAGATCCTCACCTTATACCGGTGAAGTCAGCAGCCCTAGAGCTCTGACTAGCTACTTGTGACCAATGAGGAAACTGAAGCAGGTGATGGTGACAAGCCTCTCAGAGGAGTGACCCAAACCTGCACCTGAAGTCAGTTCCCTTCATGACAAGAGTATCCCAAAACACATCCATGCTCAATTTTCTCACGGGTTGTTTTCCCAAACCAGGCTTTGTTCTCTATTTGAGACTTCCAACTCGACCCTTCTTCTGGACAATCATTTGACACCCCCCCCAGTGCTGAACCCCACATCTTCTCAGCCTGTTAAGTTGCACTTGGAGTAATGTTCTCCGAGCAGGAGTTGGCTGCTTGAAGGAGCAGTGCAGAGATGAGTGGCTGATTCTTCAACGGCCCCTCCACAGCTGGGCACCATAGCTTCCCATCTCCACACCTGACCAGGCGCTAGACCTTGCCTTGGCTTGACTGTCACACCGTAGTTAGCCTGGCTGGTATTTAGGAATGGGTTCCCAGGCTACCGAAGAGGAGAAAACTCACAGAGAAGGACACCCACCAACCCTTCCCCTTACCTCCTTCATCAATAACAGGAGGCTCGTTCCCCAGGATGTCCAGCCAGAAAAGCTAGCCTGGACTTCTCTGATGGGCACCATCTTGGCAAGAGGAAGTGATAAGGAAAAGGGACCAGAGTCCTGGAGACTATGTTCAGAATGGCCCCTCCCCATACATGCTGGTGTATAATGTCCACTGTAGCAGTGTTGAGAGGTGGACCTTTACCGGGTGGATTAAGACCATTGTGGAGGGAGCAGGTTAATGAGTGGCAGAGCAGGTTTGCTATGTCTGCCTTCTTCTTGCCCACTCCACCCGGGGACCCGGGTACACAGCTTTGCTCTTCCACCATGCTGCATCACAGAGCAGAAGCCCTGGACAGATGCCAGTGCCATGCTCTTGGACTTCCCAGACTCTAGAACTGTTGACCAAATAGACATGCTTCTAGAGTTCTTCAGAAATACTGCTACTCTGAAAGCACTTAGGATTCCACCTACTATAAACACAGTTAAAAGAAAGTGTTTAATTGGACTCAGTGTTTCTGAGCACCAGAGTCCATGGGACAGAGAGAGGGCATGGCAGCAGGAACAGCAAATCAGGAGTAGACAGTATTAACTCAACTAAGAGTCTTTTAATTCCTCAAAGCCTGCCCCCAAGGGACACACTTCCTCCAGCAAGGGGGGCACCTCCTAATCTTCCCCAAGCAGTCACCAACTGGAGACTAAGTATCCAGGTTCCTGAGACTTAAGTAGGACATGTCATTCAAGAGCAGCTGTCCCTCAGACAGCCCTGACTTCTTCATCTTTCTCCATACCTGCTCCATGATGTGTCCGACTCATAAACCTATAGTGTCTGCATACAGAACGGGTGAGCGTTCTTAGCAAGTGAGTGATTGCACTTTAGATGTTTTTATTTTAATTTTTAAGGTGTGCATTCAGTATTGTATCCTGTGTATTCCATATAAAGGTCTGTGTTTATCCTTAAGAAAGAGTTGACGTGATTCATTACCACCACTGAGGAGAGAAAACCCCAGCTCGGCTCTGGGCCTCTGTTTTCTGGGTCCAGACTGTGAGACAATGTGAACACTCTCCTTTAAGTCTCCTCTGTTTCCCCCAGTGTCTCATGGCATTTCTGAGGAAGTGGACCGTGATTCTCCTTGTTTACAACTGGGATACAGAGAGAATGTACTCAGTGTCATGGAGCTACCAAATGAAACATGTTTCACACGCAGAGCCTGACCATTTACAGAGTCTAGAAAAATCTTAGTTTTTTTTTTTTTTAAGTTTACTTTTGAATTCGCTTTGGTCGAGAGAGGACTGGGAACCTGTGCATGTTTGTCCTCTCAGACTAGAAGACTGTGGCTGTCCTCACCTGTCCTCTGCTCTGCTGGGCTGGGGTAACAGGAAGTACGACCATTCTGGCTGCTTCCCAGATTCCTGTGCCTCTTGGCTCCCGATGGGTTCTATCACTGGAAGATTCTGGTGAGACACCAGCACCATGAACATGGAAGAAGACCCTTCTCTGTCTCTCTCTGTCCTTCTCTGCTTCTTTTTCTCTCTGTCTCTCTCCTTGCTTCACCTTCCAACCTACCAATCTCCTTGGGAGGTGGCCTTGGTCTGGGCTGTTTTCCTCCATGTGGGTCACATCACAGTGGCAGGCTGCTGTGTCCCCAGGTCCTAGTCCAAGTCTTCCGTCTGACCCTCCAGTCTAGAGGAGGCTAGGGCTTCCTTCCATTTCTGAGCTCTGGTCTCCCTTCTATCCCTTTTGACTTCCTACCCTTTGATCACTCCAGTGACTGGTCTGTTCCATTAAATCCCTTCCTTTAGAATATATAGACTGGACTTTGCTTTCCTGGCCTAAGCCAGAATAGTATGCACACACACACACACACACACACACACACACACACACACACACACACACACCCCGTAGCAGTACCCAACTGGAAAAGTACAGTTCTGATCACATTCACCGGCCACATTTCCCCGACTGCAGAGCAGGACGTGACACCACCTGTGCAGGTGGATATGAGGATACAGTGGGCAGCATCCAGTTCCTTGAAGGTGAGCATGGCAACACTGCTCCCATGGACCCATCACTGCTCTCCACTTCTTCTTGAACCTCAAAGGGTAGACAAAGTGGCCACAGATCTTGGGTTACTGTAAGACAAGCACAGGGACTGGGTATTGGGAGTCTAGGAGTACACACTTGTTTTGGCCATTCATCCCTCATCTACCTTCTAGATGTCCTTGGTTCTCTTCAGTGTGACAAGTGGCCAGAACCAGAGGACTTTAAGAGGCATTCCCGCCGGGCGTTGGTGGCACACACCTTTAATCCCAGCACTCGGGAGGCAGAGGCAGGCGGATCTCTGTGAGTTCGAGACCAGCCTGGACTACCAAGCAAGTTCCAGGACAGCCTCCAAAGCCACAGAGAAACCCTGTCTCGAAAAACCAAAAAAAAAAGAGGCATTCCCAGCTGAAGTCTCATTGGAATTACTTTCACGAAGCCCGTATCTGTTGACTTTCCCCAGGGAGCCCCTGGAGACAGTGTCTGGACATGGAATGGATGAGTTATAAATGCAAACTTTCTCAAGAGGGAGAACTCAGTGACAACCTTGGTAGCCATGATGAGCACAGTAGTCAGGGTGATGGAGAGTTAGAGCTAACTAAATGCATAAAAACTAGAAGAATGGGAAGGTCTGAGGGGAGCCAGGAGCAAGAGAACTTCATCAGTTTGTCAGGCTATCAACTATGTGGAGGCCACCACCAGTAGAGGGTAATCTGTTAGCTCGGTCCCCATGCTCTCTTGTTAGTCCCACCCCAAATCACCTTTCCAGAGACACACTGAGTATGGGCCCAGTCAGGCTGGCACATGAAATGAATTAGCCGAAACTGGGTAGTAGTGGTGCATGTCTTTAATCCCAGAATTTGGGAGGCAGAGGTAGGTGCCTCTGTGAGTTTGAGGCCAGTCTGGTCTATAGAGCGAGTTCCAGGACAGTCAAGGCTACACAAAGAAACAGTGTCTCAAAACAAGCAAACAACAAACAAAAAACCCAAAGCAAAAATAATAAATGATAATATAAAATTCTGGTGCTAAATTATGGTGGTAGCAGTGCAACAGCCCAATGTCCTCAATGCTACTGAGCTATGCACATGAAAACAGAAAGCTCTATACCACATGCATCATCAAAAAATTTTCCAACTCTTAAGACTTGACAATAATACTATGTATGCATTAAGCTATGAATTTTAAGTGAATTTAAAAGGACTTCAGTGTTCACTCAAGCAGCACATACACTAAAACTGAAACAATACTGAGACTAGCCTGCTCCCTGTGCAAAGATGACACACAAATTCATAAAATTCATAAAGCATTACATATCGTTAAACAACACTCAAGCTGTTCATTAAAAGAGGGCTAAGAAAACAGCACAAAAATCAACACACACGATGACAGGAATTAATGTACACCTTTCAATGGTATCAATGGTTATCAATGGTCTTAGTCCCCACAAATAAAAATACATAGAGTTGCAGAGTGGACACACACACACAATGGAATAGTATGCAACTGTAAAGAAAAAAGAAATCTTCAGGAAAATGGACAGAAATGGAAGAGAACGTTCTGCGTGAGATAACCCAGGTCCCAGTGTTCTCTCCCATTTGAGGATCCTGGCTTCAACTTTAGTTCAGCACATCTAACATAGAACACCAGTGGAATCCAGAAAGCAAGGAAGAGGGAGGGTTATCATAAATGGGGGAGGGGTAAGGGGTAAAAAGTAAAGAAGGGGAACACTGGGTGGAAAGTTGAGGCAGGGAAGGAGGCAGGGTCAGAGGTTAGGGAGATGAAGACGTGGGATAAAGGGTGTATAATGTAAGTAGATGGAAAGTGAGATACACTTACTTAAGCAATAGTGGCTTGACTATTGTGGGAACTCCCAACCAACTGGTCCCTGATTGGATTCAAGGCCCATCACACAGAAAGGTGGGAACTGATACTTAAAGGCTGCCTAGCAGCTCTGGAGAAGTCAGTCAGTCCATTCAGAAAACAAGCTGACATAGTAGCACGCTGTCTTTTAAACACCTGTGCCTGTTCCTGTAGACAAAAGCTGCCCTTAACCTTAATCAGAGAATTCTCTCCTCACGATGAACAGTGGCAACTGTGGAGACTCAAAGGGGCCCAATATTTAGAGAATAATGACAGATGTGGGCCCAGCCTTAAACATGCCATTCATATAACCTCCTCTAAGAAGAAGGGGCAGGGGTGTATAGGAGTCCAAAGATGAGGAAGGCCTTTTTATAGGTCCACACAACCTCTGCAATCATTGACTAGCAGCAACTGTAGTTACCTGCCCTGGGGTCAGACAGACCCACTCTGTCAATAACCACTCATGCAAAGGGGAGGGACTCTGGGAGCCCACCTTTGACCTCTGAATTTATTGGCTATTAATAGATTCTGCCAAAGGAGAGAATCACTGTCTTTAGTTGTATACCCTTAGTTGACTTCACTGGGCTCCAACACACAGCTCCAAACCCCTGGTTGCGTGGATGATCCTGGTTAATCTCAGTGGGTCACAAAACAGAGCAAATAGACATGAACACTGGAGGGATTTATGGGGAAGTGGGGGGTCTAGAGAGGGGTCATTAGGAGGTGAGGGGTGACAATGGTCAGTATGCATAACATACATGTGCAAAATTGTAAAAGTAAAGATAAATAAATGAGATATTTTAACTTCAAAACGAGCAAAAGCAAATAAAACAAAATTAAGGATTGTTTTTGCTACTTTCTGTTGCCTAACAAAGCACATCGAAACTTTGTAGCTTAAAGCAACAAATTCTTATTGTTAACTGTTTTTACTACCCTTCTGGCTTGAGACAGCCGAATGTGGAGGCTCTCTTCTAAGATGGCTGCCCCTCCCTCTCCCCGGGTGCAAGTGCATGCCTGTGTATGGTTCCTCCTGCAATCTTGGTAGTTGGATCCCAGGAGCCAGCATTATGACAGAGCAGGTAGAACCAACAGTCCTCCTAAATCTAGGAGGAAGTTACAGCTGCCGCTGAAGCCCATCTAGTCTTAAAGAAGCCATAGGCTGCAGGAACATATGTGCCTCTTCTCAAAGGAGGAGTGTCAACAGTGTGTGTGGTTGCTCTGAGCCCACCTAAAGTGGCTGAAACCGATGTCAAGATGGTGCTGGTCTGAATGAGGGAAGGACAGATGCAGAGAGTTCTTTCTTCATTTATAGTCACACGTCAGAGTGGGGGTGAGCACACCGGTTGTTCCAGTACTGACTGGTTCAGTCCTCTGCTGAACGGTGTCAAAGCTCCCAACCACACACAGATGGACACTCTTCAGAGTCCTGGGTTATAGCACATTTATCTCATGTTGAAACTGCTGAGATTCGTGTTAACTTCCTTAGATGACTCAGAAGCCTGCAGCTTCCTGAGGGGCCCGGGGGTCACCACCAGTGACATCCATTATCATTTCGCTGGTCCCATACCCCAAGGCTGGTCGACAGAATGCCAAAGAGATAAACCACTTTTACTGTAATTCACCCTCTGAAAAAATGGGATTTACCAAGCAAATTAAGAGGGCGAAGAAACTTACAGGGGTGACATTTAGCCTACTCAAGACACCAAACTTTTCAAGCACTTTAGAGCCGCGATTTACATACAATTACAGGAATGCCTCATTTATCTACGCCTGCCAGAAGAAGCAGTTTCATATGAGTGAATTTTCCAGATAATGGTGGCTTCCGCTAGAAGCACTGAGCCATTTAACCAGACTGGCAGAAATCTCCCCCAAATAGATACACAACATCTAGAATATCCAGACTGCCTGTGGCCATCAGCCATAGCATCTAAGCCAGGCCCAAGTTCCCAAGGCATCTTGCCATTATGCAGGTTGCTAAATGATAACTTATGTCACCAATATCAGGTAACTGCCTCATCCACTGACCACCGACTTCCTGCCATGGCCCGATATTTTTGTTTGTTAAAGATCTATTTATTTGTGGGTTTTGTGTATGAGTGGTATGAATGAGTATCTCTGCACCACATACGTGCAGTGCCCCTGGAGGCTGGAAGAGAGTGTCAGACCTTCTGGAATAGATGGCTCTGAGTAGCCATGTGGGTGCTGAGACTCTAACCCAATCCACTGCAGAAGCAGCCAGTGTATGAACACACAGCCGTGTGAGTGCGTGTGTGCGTGCATGAGTGTGTAGACCCAAAGTCGCCAGTTGATGTTGGATGTCTTCCTCTCTCGCTCCCACTTTTATTGATAGAGTCAGGACCTCTCAGTTAAACTCTGCTCACTTATTCCACTACTCTAGACAGCCAGCTTGTCCTGGGCAAGTAGCCTGTCTGCCTCCCATACTGAAATCACAGGCAGCTGCCTTGCCTCCCAGAGTTTGTGCTTGGGTTCTGAGGACCTGAACTCCACGTCACATGCATCTCACACTTGCAGGACAAGTGTTTACCTATGGAACAATCTCCCCAGGCTAGTCTGCCACATAGGGGCTCCCTGTATCTTCTTCATATGTACAACCGGGTGAAGTACCTTTCATGTGTCTGTGCTCTGCCCAGAGGTAGACAGCGCAGTGCTGTGGAGCTCTCTGCTCCTTGCTTTGCCACTAAGAGTCGAGTCTTTAAGATGGTTTATCCTGCTCTCAGCACTGTCTTGCTTTGCCTCCAGACCTACAGCATTTTCTTTCCAGGGTGCTCTAGGGAGGGGCAGTCAGACCACCCTGCCTCAGAAGCAATGCCTCCCTGAGCACTTGTGTATCCAGAACGACAAGGCCTCAGACTGCCCTCGTGGGTGGCAATGTCACACTACAGTCACCAACAGTTTACAAGAAGGTCCCTGGGACTGAAGAAGCTGCTCAGTTGGCAAACGCCCTTTCTGCCGGATCAGAGAACCTGAGTTCCATCTCAGGGATCCACGTGGTAGGAGTGAAACCACCCCTACAAAGTTGCCCTCCGACCTCCACCCCTGCACTGCGCTGCACATGAACCCAGATGTGCTCTCCAGAAGATTTGATTTCCTGTACATTGCAGTTTCCTAAGCCAGACTCCAGAAGGACAGTGTGACAGCTCACACACACACATACACACACACTTAAAGTAAATGAGTAATTTTAAAAAGAACAAAATAAAACAGAAACAGCCCGATGGTGGGACTCATTCCAGTGTGGTTGTGTGGTTGACAACACTTGGAGTTTTCATCTTTTTTCTTTCTCATTCTGGTGAATGTGAAACGTGACTTTCTCCTTATTTTTTGCTTGTTTGGCCAGCAGCTCAGAGTCTCATCATGCCCATGGTATGGCAGGCTGTGTGGGCTGCACATTAATGTTCCTCTTAGTCTGTTACTTGTTGCTAATTTCCTGCGCACACCAAGGTGCTGCTGGGTTTGGGTGTAGCTGGTCATCCCAAACAGATTCCCACCTGGGTCCATCCCCTTTAGGCTTCCTGTCTGCTGACTTCTTTCCTACCATGCTCCGAAATCGCAAGGAAAACTGGGCTCTTCCTGAAGTCGGGCATCTTTGTGCTTGCATTCCTGTTTAGCATTCATGGCTTCCTGTCGTTTCCTGCATGTGTTCTTATGGCTTCCTCTCCCCCTGGCAGATAGAATGGGCTGGAAGGTAGGGGTTTAACTCTGCTTTCTACTCCCGAGTAGGCAACACAGTGGCAGCACACAGCGTATGCTCAGTGGGTGCCTCCTACATCGATTCTCTTAACTAAGCATCATGTACAGCTGGGGTAGCGGTCATGCTCTTGACCATCTATGGAGATGTGCTGACACTAGCAAAAACTCCAGGGGCGGGGCCAGCGAGAGTCTCCCTTTAGTCAAAGGCAGAATCCGTTCACCTATCCAAGGTTTCAGACTCGAGTCTTCTCCATGAAGCTCTCTCACCCACATGTGAGAGAAGTGAAAACGGATGACAGAGAAGCTTCTGGCTCTTTACTCCGATAACTGAAGGGTGTTTGATCGCATCCCATCGTGTGCACCAACCAGTGTGTATTCCTGGTCACCCATCGCCACTGAATAGCAAACCACCACAGCATTGGTGGTGATGTGTCACCTGCCATCGCCTGAGTGGGGAGGTCAGGGCGGGAAGTGAGCTGGTTTGTATTGCTGCCTCCCAGCATAGAAGCAGCTTGGTGGCTTCCCCCACTCATATGCCGAAAGCCTGTGCTCCATCAGCAGGACTGAAACCTGGATCTTTGGGGGACCTCTTTGTCTAGCTGGTCTCTGCAGTGGGGAAGCTGCAGGAACTGGCCCACAGAGCTGCAAAAGAAGCTAGCCTCTTAAGTCTGCCACCATGGGGCCTGCAAAAGGGCAGCCCAGGTTTAAGGGCGAGAGAAACAGACCATATTTTCCAGT